CCACTTAAAACCTTGTTTCTTAGTTGTCTCATCTTTAAATAAAAAGTCAATAATATTAGAGGATTTCTGGAAAGATTGAATAGTGGTTAATATACAATGTTAAATAAAATTTCTTACCCTACTTGCTATTTCACATGAAATATTTTGTGAATAAATCTATAATAGTTAATTTTCTTTTTTTAATTACTTTTTTTAAAAAATGTATTTAGTACAGGGTCTACATGGTCTCACGGCATAGATCGGGCTCATAGTGATCCTCCTGTTTTTAGTCTCCCAAGCACTGGGATTACAGATGTGTGCCACCACATCCAGTCTCAGTGGCCATCTCAGCACATGCAGGGATGGAACCCCAGCCACTGCACTCTGCCTGAGCAGGCGCTTTAGACCACTGAGCTATCTTACTGGCCCTTATAATAGTTAATTTTCTAATAACTTTTCAAATGGTTCCGTGATATTCAGGCATTCTACTTTTGTTGTTGTTTGTTTGAGGAGTCTTCACCATTAGGTGTGTAAAAAGCAAGAAGAACAGAAAAAGAGGAAGTCCCTGCTTGTACTTTAGTACAGGCGAGTACCTGGGATGAGTTCGTGTTCTCTAAAACCAAGGAATGAATTTTTGGAACTATGGAGGTTTAGAGCAGAATTATTTATTGTGGGTAAGAAAGCTCCTGTCCAAGAGAGGAACAGAAGGGTTCCTGGGTGAGTTGTCAAGTACCCTGCCTTTTCTAGGGGCTTTATAGAGCAAAATCATGAGGTGAGGCAGGTCTAAAGTGGGAAACATGGGACCTCACTAAGAGGGCATGAGGTGGGACAAGACTGTTGTCAACCAGTAAGGTTACAAGCACAATTGCTCAGGTAAAACTGATTAAATTCAGGACCAAACGGGAAAGTGAGTCGTATAGCAAGTGGGCTTGAATATAGAACAAGGCCTTATCCTGTAGGGGGTTGGGTTCCAGACTTCCTGGATTCCTCTAGGTGATTACCAATCCTGAATGCTTATTTTTAGGGAGGTAAGCATTTGTTTGATATTTGATCTTGAGGTCTGGCTCACAGCCGGGAGTGTCTGTCTCCCTCACAGTTGCAAGGTATCTTGTCTTCTGTGCTGTCTCCTTAGCAGTCCTAACCCTGTCTGACTGCCTATATTTCAGTCTGTCTCAACTGCCTACGACAGTGTGAGGGAAGATAAGTAAAGTATGTTGTTAGAGGACAAATAAGATGCTAAGTGAGCACATGCACCTAACTCAGATGTGGGGTTGGGAAGCTTCTGGACAGAGGAGAGATGTGTCCAGGCAGAGGATAAGCCTATTGAGCGACAACGAAGCTGTACTGGAAGGAGCTTCTGCATCAGTTTTTATCCGGCGAACTTAGGGAAATCTGTGATAACTGGTGGCTCCCAAACATAGTCCATCATCTCTTAGGCGAGTGCTATAATCCACAAGTTTGTTTGTTTTTTCCTTTTTTGGTACTGGGAATCAAACTCAGGGCCTTGTATTTGCTAGGGAGGTTCATGTGCCTCTGAGCTATTTCCCCACCCCCATCCAGAAGTTTCAAGAACCAAAGCCGAACTCCTGCTCAAAAGCTTAGGGCTAAAATGAATGATTGGGTGAAAGCAGGATGGAAGTAACTTTTAAGATTTGAATAAGATAGCCATTCAGTATTCATGGAGAGATGAGACTTCAACCAAAATCCAAGCAACTGCGGTTAGATTCAAGCTTTTGTTTTAATTTTTTGGTGCTGAGGATCCAGCCCAGGGCCTTGTTCATCAGAGGCTGAATTGACCTACACTGCCAGCCCTGTCCAAGCTTGAGGATCAGAGAGGAGCTTATTGAGTCGTTGAACAAAGTTTGCCTGCTTGTCACTTCCGCTCTCATCATTGTGTCTGTAGTGCCTGGTGTATAATAAACACTTAACTAAACTTCTTTGCTGAGTTAGTAAATACTTGCATTCTTCTTTTGAACTTCTTTTTGTTGTTGGTTTTTCAGTCTTGCTGTATAGTTCAGGCCGGCCTTGAACTCCTTAAGTAGTGCTGTTGGCCTTGTGTGGTCTCTTGAGCTTTGTAGGGCTGAATTATATTTGTCCCTCTGGGGTCATCAGTCATTTCCTCTGTGTGTACATAGTAATTCTCAGGCTCAGAAATACTTAGATCTGACTCATTCTAGACATTTTAAAAATTGGAGGGTTTTTTTTAGTATTCTTTGAATTTTTTTTTAAAGAATTAGCATATTTGCTGTATTAACTCTTGCTTGAAATACTGGCTTGCCAATTATTCAGTCTTTTTGTCTATATTTGGTAGAGTTTTGTCATTTCTCTCTGATACTATTTTGATCTTCTGCACTTTTGTTATTGTGTGTAGAATGCATTTAAATTTTCTTACTGCTGCTGTATGAGAAAGTTACTGAATTCGTATATCTGAATGTAGCCATTGTATTGGTCAGCTGTTTGTTGCTGTGACAGAATTCTTGACATAAACAGGAGGAATGCTTTATTTGGGCTCAGAGTTCCAGTTTCTGGTCAGCCAGCTCTTACATGTATGTCTGTGTTGAGGCAGAAGCATAGCAGCAGGGTAAGGCAGGGGAGGGTAGCTTACCTGAGGGCAGTCAGGAAGCAGATGGAAGCTGAGAAAGGGGAGAGACTGAGGACAAGAGCTATGGTACAGAGGCATGCCCCAGGGCCCACTTTCTCTGGCTGGGCCCCAGCTTCTACTAACCTAATCAGCAATGAATTTATCATTGCATTCATCTATTTATGAGGTCAGCTTCAGGGATTGTTGCCTCTCTAGGCTTCATCTCCGAATAGTGCTACATTGGGGATTAAGCTATCAATACATGAATTCTGGGGCAATACCTCATAAAATCCTGTTTCTCATAGTCTTTCAGCTGGTGAACATATGTTCTTAGTAGATCATGACCCACTTGGTAAATAATTTTTTTATTTCTTTTTTACTGTGATAAATTGGCTAGAAGGTTTTTTTTTTTTCGGGGGGGGGGAGATGTAAAATTGTTTATTAAAATTACAGCTACAGAACACAAAAACAGGGCCAGCAAGATAGCTCAGCAGATTAAAACACCTGCTTAGGCAGACACAGGGACCAGGGTTTGATCCCCAGCACCATAAGCTATTGCAGGCCCTGTGCCCCAGGGTGCACTGAGAGGGTGATTGAGACTGGGCGTGGTGGCATGGGCCTGTAATCCCAGCACATGGGAGCCTGAAAACAGGAGGAACACTGTTGAGTCCGATCTATATAGTGAGACCCTGTAGACGATGTACTAAATATATTTTTTTAAAAAGATCACAAAAATATAAAAACTAATGTACAACTTTACAGACTGAAGTAAAACAGAATGTTCACAGTTGTTCACTTCAGTAGTTTTAGCTCCCAGTACCCAATAATTATTTGCTGTTCTTGAATAAGTATTAAAATTAGAAATGAATTCATATATTTCCTACTTTGTTGTAATGATACATAACTTCCATAGTGAAATAAATATAAGAACTGTATAAAAAAATAAGACTGATTTGACAAACCAAAAACAATGACACAGAAGAAAGGGCTTTCATATTGCTCATAGAAAAGTATCAAATATTACATTAATAATAATTCATGGTTATAAATAGTAAAGTTGGCTAGAGGATTTTGATTGATTTTTTTGTGTTTTGGTTCAGGGCCTCACTACACAGCTTAGGCTTGTAGTGATCCTCCTGTTTTCAGCCTCCCCAGGGCTGGGATTATCAGTGGACAGCTCAGCACAGCTGGAGTGGTATGTGGTACTGGCATTCGAACCCTGATCCCTGTGCTTGCTTAAGCAGGCACTTAGTCCTCTGAGCTTTCTCACCAGTCTGACTAGAGGATTTTGAACGATGTTTTTATTAGTACTTCTGGCATCCCTATCTTTTTTTTTTTTTTTCCTTGACGAAACCAGGGATTGAACTCAGACCCTTGTGCTTGCCAGGGAAGCGCTTATTCAACTGAGCCATCTCCCTGGCTCCATGGCATTCCTGTCTTTAAAGATGTTTTCTTTAGGTTTAACTTGAAGTCACCCATGGCTCTTCCTTTAAATCTTCTTGTGGTTCTCTTACTTGTTACCTGATGTTGTTACCTGTTAACTTGTTCTCTACTGTTAGCAGGATTTTCTCTGACAGTTTTGGTGACTTAATAATACCAGGATAAGGCTGGTGAGATGGCTCAGTGGTCTAAAGCACCTACTTAGAACAGGCTTAGCAAAGCACAGGGACCACGGTTCAATCCCCCAGCACCACATGCCAGCCAGCCCCGCCCCCTGGTGGGCTGAGCTGGCCACACACACACACACACACACACACACACACACACACATAAATAAATAAATAAATAAAATTTTAAAAAATAATAATACCAGGATAGCAAGTGTAGTGTCCCAAACAGATGACCACTAATCTGGTGGGGGTGTTGTACCTTATGTCTGCTTTTCTTTTACTTCTCAGCCATCCTACAAAATCAAGATATTTTTATGGGTTTCATTTCAGGTGCCCTGATGCATGAGTTGTCAAATGATGGTGCTCGTAGGCAATTTGAATTTTATCTTGAAGAAATGATCCTTCCTCTCATGGTAGCTAGTGCCCAGAGTGGGGAGCGAGAATGCCATATAGTGGTGCTCACGGATGATGACGTAGTCGACTGGGATGAAGAGTATCCACCACAGATGGGTGAAGAGTATTCACAAAGTAAGTATTGTGGCATATTTTCTCTCTCCTGAGTCATTACATTATCTTTTTTTAAAATAATGTTAATTGAAGGACAGGTTTTATAAAGAAAATGTATCAAGTTCTTACTATGCTTCCAGGATCAGCAAACTAGCTTGTGAGTCAAACCCAGCCTGCTGCCTGTTTTTATCAATAAAGTTTTACGTATTGCCTCTGGCTGCTTTCATGCTATCACGGCAGAGTGCTGCAACGGAAACTGCATGGCTCGCAAAGCCCCACGTATTTTCTGTCCAGCCCTGTACACAAAGTGTGTCCACCTCTCATGCACAGAAGTGGTTTGCTCTTGGTTAGCTTTCTGAGGGTAACTTTTAAGTTTCAAGTTCTTTTTTTAATACCACATATGTTCCTAGAAGAGATAGTGGCTCTTCCAGATTCTGGAATTTTATTTCTTTAGGAGTTTTCATACCATACCAGCATTATCTTGAGCAGCACTGATTTTTTTCTCATTCCAGTTCTAAGCTTTTGTGGCTAGAGTTGTTTGATTCTTTTGTTAGAAAATCTATAGTATGTTCTTGATGAACCCAATATTAGCATTTTTTAGCACTTTTATAAATGGAGGAGAGCTGAAAGAATGGCTTAAGAAGCTTGGTAACTTAGCTTCTTGTTCCATGAAATCTAATCTGTTGACTAAGTAAGGATTAGAGTTAATTACAGGATATACAAAGCACCAAAGCCTTTTAATCTTTTTCCATTTTTTATACTCTTTCTAAAAACAAAGCAAAAAAGCTGACTCCAAGTAGTATTCTTGTTGACTTTTAAAAAAGATTTCCAGTCATCTTAATACCAGTATTGCCATCTTTCAGAGTTGGCACTGACGTACTTCCTTTACATTATATACTTGGTATACTTGGGTGTTGTAATGTCTTTTTGGATAATCATAGGCATTTCTCTTGGCTGTTTCCTCAACCCTAGGTTCTTTGTTGACAATGGTTTTCTAATTCGTGAAATAAAAGGTTGAGTAAAACACAGGAAAATTAAGATTACTAAAAATCAAAAATATCCAAAATGATTTTCTGTTAGGAAAGAGGAATAAACAAGCTTATTTAGGGCCGGGGAGATGGCTCAGTGGAATAAGCTCTTCCCTGGCAAGTGCAAGGGCCTGAGTTCAATCCCCGGTTCCGCCAAAAAAAAAAAAAAAAAGAAAAAACAAGCTTATTTATATTTTAATTTTGAAAAAAAAATGACTCCAAGATAGTAGAGCTAACCATAGAACCAAAAAATGAGATTATAGTGAAGGAATTATAATAGGCTTAGCCTTTTCTTTTCCATTGTTGTTTCCATTTTAATGTTTTCCTTGTTTTTTGTCTTAAGCTTTGAAGCTTAAGAGGACGGACATTTTTACTTAATTTGTTGGCTCATTTTATGCCAAGATATTCTCCCTCTCTCTTTTTTAATGTATTTGGTTGTTACAGTCTCACTATGCAGCTTGGACTCATAGTGATCCTCTGGTTTTCAGTCTTCCCAGCACTGGGATTACAGGCATGTGCCACCGCACCCCAACTCTGTGGCTGGTTCAGCATGTCCTGGGGGCGGAGCTGGCAAGGCATGTGGTGCCCGGGATCGAACTGCGGTCTCTGCGTTTGCCTAAGCAGGTGCTTTAGTCCACTGAGCTATCTCACCAGCTCCATATGCCAAGATGTTCTAACCTAAAGAAAATACATTTGAGGATATAGAGATTATCTATGATGCCCTAAACATTTCTTTGTCCTTCTTGAAATGTAAAAAAAAAAAAAAAAAGCCAACCTTTTTCTAAAATATCAGTAATCTTAAGGATTTAATAATAATCACGGATTTATCCCATGAGTAGAATTTGTATACGTATTTTCCTTTATTGGCTCTTAAACCAGCAGGTTTGATTTGTGAGTATGTTTTTCTTTTTTTGAAAAAACCTCTGCAGTTCACCTTTTAAGGGAGATTACTCCATCTGAAAGAGAGAAGGCGAGGAAGGTCCATCAGTCTAACACCCTGAAGTTCCCAGCACATTTGGAAGACTCAACATGTTGTCAGTGGAATGTCTGTCCTTTGCAAAGCCAGTTTGCTCTAAACAGACTAACCTAGGCAGAACATGCTCGAATCTGCCATTTTAACATCAATATTAAGTGGGGCGGTTTGCCTGAGTGGAAAACATTTTGTGGGGAGGGTCTTTGTCTTATGGGGAGTTATTAATAGTTGCTCAATCCATGAAAAGTAAAATGTAACTGTTTCATATTCTTTGTTAAGGCAGTTGTTTCTTTCCTAGATTAATCCTTTTAGGCATCTTTGCAAAGTTCTTTACTTGCTTGATTGTTATTGATGTCTTCTTTTGGTTCTCTTATTCAAAACTTGGGGCGGATCCCATTCCAGTAAGTGTGTATCCGATGGATTTTTCAGAAAGAGATTCTTCCAATGGATTGGGTTACCTGATTGGGTTATCACAGCTTTTCTTGTTTCCACTTAAGTAGACATTTGCTTCTTCATTAACTGTACTGAATATTGTCCTGTCATGTTGGCTAGTCCTTTGGCATTAGTGCATCTATTATTTGGGCTTTTAGGGCTGTCGGACTCCTTTGATGATCAAGATGGATTTAAGTTCATCTCTAAGTACTATGGTTTTAATTTGAAATGTTTTTGTCTTTTTGTTTCCAGTTATTTATAGCACAAAATTGTATAGATTTTTCAAGTACATTGAAAACAGAGATGTGGCCAAATCAGTTTTGAAGGAGAGGGGTCTTAAGAAGATTAGATTGGGAATAGAAGGTAAGACATTTTCATTATTTAGTTCTAATTTTTTTGAAAAACTATTAAAAAATTGGGTTCTATTTAGAAAAGTTTAAATAGTTTGGGGAAAATGCTGACTAATGATTAATAAATGCTTATGTAGAAGATGAGTAACTAATACAGATCAGCTTTCTTTGGAGAGCGAGGCCATTAGAAATGATCTATTTCATAAAATTCCCTAGTGATACCAGGATATGATTTTGTCTTTTTTTGCCGGTTTGCTCTATTTCACTTGACAAATCCCATGTGATGTGTGGGCAGGACTGTGTACATTCCGTGAAACTGACAAGGATTTTTGCCTAGTGGTAATCTTTGAAACCTAGTAGTAAAAACTACTTTTTAAAATTAATGTAAGGGTCCTGAGTTCAATCCCCAGTACCGGGGGGGGGGGGGAATAGGGGCCGGGGAGATGGCTCAGTAGAATAAGTGCTTGCCTAGCAAGCGTAACAGCCTGAGTTCAATCCCCAGTTCTGCCAAAAAAAAAAAGACATAAAATTAGTGTAGAACTACTACCATTGGCTTACTGTGTTTTAAAATACAATAACAGCTTATTTTCAAGTTAAATACAAATTACGAAATTGTTTTTAAATGCATACATTTTAGGTAGCTTTTAACATTATGATTTAAATAAATTTCTCTTTATGCCATGGTTAAGTTTGTCATTTTGTTGTGAGGATGGAATGAGTGAATACATGAAAAGCACTTAAAATAGTGTAAGGCCCATAGTTGTCCATACATGTCGTGATGATAATGCAGAAAGCTGTGCTGATCGAGAACCTGGCTGAGTTGCTAGAGATCAGGGTAATGAGCTCCGGAGATATAATGGAAAGAATTACTAGAAGCAGGATTTTTGTAGGAAGGAGATTTTGAGTTTAAAAACGAATGGAATTACTGGCACATGTGAGATTCATCCATGTTTGCCTTTGCCCATCACTTTGCTTGGTCTCACGCTAGAAAGGAGGTGCCTCTATGTTGGAAGACAGGGAAGGCCTGTGAGGAGGAGAGATTTGAGCTGAGATCTGTTGACAAGGATGGATGGTTGTAGACGGAGAAAATAACACGTCAGAGGTATTAGTAAGAATGAACCTAATGTGTTTTAGGTACAGAAAACACAAATATGACTAGAATTGTGTGGTAGAAGATGATACGAATGTTAGTAGGAGAAATAGTTTAAGGTCATGAGAAACAGTGTCTGATGGGTCATAGTGAAGAGTATACGAGCCAAGTATCTTAAAGTAAATCTCTGACTTTCTGAGCATCAGTTTCTATATTTGTTAGTGTCTGTAGTACTCTGTATACCTCAGAGATGACTGTGATGATCTAATGATGTTTGCTAGAATCCTTTTCTGCTTTATTTTCTCTGTTTCCTACATGGTCACTGCTATCGTCCTTTACAGACTTTGAAAGGAACTTCTGTGACATGGCTCCTTAGACCAATGTGCTATATAATCCTGTTTCTTTAGTCTATGCTGTGAACTCCATGAGAGAAGTCAAGTTGAATATTGCCTAACTCATGTAGTCTAGGGCTTAGTGTGAGGGAGTTCTTGAATAAATGACCTATAAAAACCTGTTTGTAAATTTGTTACTAGCTGCTTTCTCCAAACCAGGTTCCGTCCAGGACCACACTTGATAGCTATTGTATCTGATCTCTCAGCTGGGATGGTTCTTTACTTATGACAATGTCCTATTTAAGAGTTTGCAGTAGTTCTACTTCTGGATTTGCCTTATTGCCACTGTGTTGTCTTTCAGTTTATGCTAACTTCTGCAGTTCTTATAAACTGTAACTACATGTAAAGGCAAAATCTAAGTCTTCTTTATAGGTGACAGCCTCATTGCTCTATTATAAGATTAAGTTCTTAGTGTGATATTATTTTAACACTATAAGTGGTATTTTATAAGGTGAACTTGCCCCTATGAAAAGAGGCTGCTTGGTTACCCAAATTATCACTATTTTTAACAGGAAGAAATAGAAACTTAAAACATGAAATAGCTTATTAACATTTCATTGGCAAGAAATAGTGCTGGAACTTGAATCCAAGTCTCTTGTAATTTGAGAATCTGTGAGTGGTTTTGAAGTACCATATAAAAAGGAAATTTTTTTAGGAGAGTCAGTATATAGTGTTTTTTGTCTGTGTACTACAAGCTTTGATAAATGGGTCTTGACTTTGGCAAAATAGTTATTAACCATGACCTATAGTCTCTGATAACTCCATCTAGATTTGAACCTTTTTTTTCCCAAATGATGTGAGACTACCAATTTTTCCTATCAGTTTTACCATTTTTTTCCTTTCAGACAGTTATATAGAATATCTTTTATTCTCATGGAGTTATTATTTGTGGGACCAAAGAAAACAATGCAGATTTTGAAGTCATTTTGTTATTCCTCCCCTCCAGTTCCGATCCCCCTTGCCTTTCACTTCAAAGCCTTCAGAAGTCTGGTGTTAGAATATTAGTTTTCATGAGAGTAAGAATACGTTTTTTACATATGAACAAATTTCAGCAACCCCAGTAGATAGTAAAGACTTTTAAGGCAGCTCCATGGTATTACAAAATTATTTGATGCCATAGCTGCTGACCCATTACTTGAGTGAATCTCACCAAGTCAATCTGGAAGCCAGGGATAGACTTCATTCTTAAAGGAAAACTTGTTCTTAGTTATCTAGGAAGAGACTGTCACCTAGAACTAAGATCCTGGTAGTTCATTCACTCCAAAGAATTGTTTGGTGTCTGCAGGACATCTCAGGCACTATGCTCGGCACTGTGGGTACTGAGATAAAGATGCTGGCTCTGCCAGATAGGAGCTCACTGTTTAGGTGAGCAAGTCAGACCTACAGAAAGGTAATTACTAGGGAGGGCTGTGAAGCATAAGATACAAATTAATAACTCTTGGGAATCTGAAGGCTTTGCTGGAAAAGGGATTGCGCTACAGAGGTGTGATACCCAAGAGGGGATCAGCGGCAGAATCCTAAGTGTAAGAGCACCAAAGCATACTCAGGACAAAGTAAAAGTTTTATGTGGCCAGCGCATTTGAAAGGTCTAGGGTTAGAAAGAAGGGAGTACAGCGTGAGAGTAGGTGAGATTAAGCAGGTTGGGATCAAGTGGTGAGAAGATGGAGAAATGTGGGCCATTCCCTTGAGGCATGAGAAAACTGCTATAGTTTTTAAGTGAAGGTGCAAGATGAATGTATTTGTGTAGTGGTGATTCTGTGTACAAGACAGATTTGGAATATAACCCAGTAGGAATTTTAAGAACTTTTGAGTGATCCGGAGGAATGAAGAGAATACCTTTCTGCCCTGGGTACTGCACTTCAGATGCACTGCAAGTGCTAAACGCAGCAGATACTTTTTCCTTAGCACTCCCCTACCTAGTCTTGGGTATCCCTCATTCCTGTCACACTCAGACACTAAACATAGCTAGATGTATTGGCTGCCAGTAATGCCTGCCTGTATCCCTCACACAGTAATCAGTGAGCCTGTACTATACAAGGACTACTCCTTTCTGGTACTAACTCTGGTGTAACTTTATTTATTTACTTATTTATTTATTTATTTAATACTATGGTCTAACTTAGGCTCCATTGTTGTTTTATAGTTTTATTGAAATAATTTTCATATTCCCTGGCTGATTTTATCATAGTGGCAGAGTCAAGCGGTTTTGATAGGAATAATGGGTCTTAAAGGGCTTTATCGGTACTGTGACCCTTACAGAAAATATTTGCTAATCCCTAATCCAAAATAGCAATTCTTGCTAGTAGAAAGGAGAGAAGGAACTTAGCATTGCTGAGGACAATAATCTTTGGAGAAATGGCCTTGCTGATAAATAATTGGAAATTTTCCAAAACTTACTGGTAAATAATTGAAAGATTTTCAAAGTTTATTAGTTGTTAATTTTCAGTGACTATAATCCAAAAGGAAAGTATTATAGAAATCTGCTTTGGAAATGAAAATCTAAGTGAACTGCTTGGTTGTTGGAATAGTCATATTAAAATGATGTAGGGGATTAAAATATTGGCATTGCCAACTCTAGTTACAAAATAATCTAGAACCATGTGGAGAGCTGAATAGTTCTTTGTCATTTAACAGAATATTAAAGAAAATTCCAGGGCAATGTAAAGAGATGGGCTTAAAGAAACTCAGAGGTGACTACAGCAGTAAACTACAGGCCTTTAGGTCACGTCAGCAAGTGAGGAGAGCGGTTTGGATATTAGGATATCATATAGGGCTCAAGATCTCTTGCAAATTGTGTATCATTACATTGGGGACCCATCTCTTTCATACTTAAAGAATATATTTGGTGGTTAGTTTATTGCATACCTGAAAGAATACTGGAAGGTTTTGAGTTCCATAGTAGAATTTTCGTTTCTGGCTGTTAAAATGATAACTAGATAGATGGAATATGTGTTTCCTTTCTTGGCTTTAATTTCCATTTGTTCAGTATTTGCAACAAGAAAGCCTCGAAGGACTAAATTGGATGAGAAGTAACTGTGTATGTATCCTGTTTTTAAAACCTTTCTTTCCTCCAGGTTATCCTACATACAAAGAAAAAGTAAAGAAAAGGCCTGGAGGCCGCCCAGAAGTCATTTACAACTATGTCCAAAGACCCTTTATTCGAATGTCCTGGGAAAAAGAAGAAGGAAAGAGTCGGCATGTAGACTTTCAGTGTGTAAAGAGTAAATCTATCACCAACCTGGCAGCAGCTGCTGCAGACATTCCCCAGGACCAGCTGGTAGTCATGCACCCCACTCCACAGGTGGACGAGCTGGACATCCTTCCCATCCATCCCCCTTCTGGCAGCAGTGACCTCGATCCTGACGCTCAGAACCCAATGCTGTGACGCTGTCGTTGAAACCGTAGCATGCTACTCTTCTCAGTCTCATTCCGCACTGCAAGGCCGCTCTCCTTCATTGTGAGGTGCACATGTGTAGGGTATTGCAGTGTAGGTATTTTTGAAGACCAAAGGCAGCTGAATGGTTTTTTTAAATGAGTACAACTCTAGCATCCTGAGGTTCCAGTTATAAAAATGTATTTGTTTACCAGTAGATTTGTGAAATTGGTTCTTTGTATGGGGAATAGTCCTTTTTCACATATAGGTCTTTTCAGAAGTGATGGAAATTGGTAGCTGGGGTGTTTTCAACAAAGACTGATATTCATCATACCCCAGATAAAAGGCAGATTATTATATAGTTGCACTTTATAAATGGTGGTTAATTGGAATTGTTCAAGCCATTTTAGAGTTGTGATGTATAATATAACTTAAGTGCTTCTATCAAAGTTTTCCTTCAGTAAAATGTTTGTAGTTTGCTGCCCATGGTGAAAAAATAGTATTTATCTTGGGCTTATTTGAATGGTTAGGATGAGATTTAGTGCTCATGTCTTACTGGTTCACTCACTTCTATCCAGTGCCGTTTCACCCTTTCAGAGTGAGTCACATGCAGGGAGTGTGAACATTAGAGGTGGTTTATTATCCAGTCTGCCTTACCCTTAATCTGTTCACAGATACTTATTACTAATGCTTTTTTTCTTAAGCGTTATGAGATAGGAAAATGAAGTGTTTGCTCTTCATTTACTAAATGATTGTAAACTCAAGTTTTTCATCGAAATAAAATTCCATTGGTTTTAATGTTTCAGACCAACTTTATAACCACCTTGGCCAGAGTTTTAGTCTCATAATTAGATTTTCTGTCTCATTGGTATAAGTACAACTAGAAATCAAATAGCTTTTCAGAGCTTTTACTCTTAATTTGGTATGTGTGTAACAAAGCACTTAAATTTCTTACTAGCTATTATAAGAACTGAAAATAGTATTTCTTAGTGTACCCTGTATGAAATGTGAAATGACTTGGCCCTAAGTTTAAGAGCCAGTTTCAGACACTAGTTTCATGTCTTCGCATTGTATTATGCTGCTCTGCTTAGCAGATATTCATGCAAATGCTGTTTTAAATACACTGTGGCCTAATTCAAGAATCAGAAATATTTAGGTGGTGTTGGGTCTGTGGTCACATAATGCTTGAAGCCCTACAACTGCCAGCAGTAGTAGCCGTGGAGAGAAGTCTGTTCGTTGCATGAAATTGTGAATTTGTATTTTCAGAGGTTTTCAGCTTTGTGTGTAAGCAATAATAACTTTGTTTTCACATAAATCAAAATGGCAACAATTTGGAAATTAACTATTTTTCCACAACACATCTAGCATGGAGGAACTGTTATAAATCCCAGAAATGTTATGAAGATCAGAAAGGCATTGAAAATGTTAGCAGTTGTTGGAATACCCATGGATGGAACTGATGATACAACTCTGCAGCATGTAGGATTTTTTTTCTTGTTATATGAAGTGAGAAAAGTATTTATAGAACAAGGGAAACATTTATTAAAAATATTTAACTGTCTAATACATTATACTTTAACCCATATTTATAGTAAAGGATTCTTACAAGGAAGAATAAACAGCTTTATGATACAATTAGTATAAGAAATATCCACATGGGGGACTTCTTTGTAGTGTAAAAACACCATACATCTGAAATGACCATTTGCATATAAAAGCTACCAATGATGCTTCTGTGCACAATGATTAAAAAATTCAACACAAACAGAATCCAAAATATACAATTAATGCAAGCTATCCACAGCTAGCCCAATAATCAATGATGAGGAAACACTGGAGCAGGCTTAGTTCCACTTTGTCTGAAGTTACACATAGTAAGATTGACTTGTATCAATGGCTCTGAGATGGCTTTTATGAAGTCAGTACATAAAAGCTGTTCTCTCCCTATCCAGTAAGCTTCACAGACTGTAAAACTCCACCAGTAATGCACTTTGATACTGTAGCTGTTGCCAAAGCAACATGTAGTGTTTACAACGGCCATGGCAAGTCGCTGAAGTCAACAGGGCCACCCAGCCCAGCATCTGCTTCCAGAAGGCTCATGATGACAGCCATTGCTGCCTCGTCGTTACTGGGACTACTTGATCCTTGGTCATTGTCTATCATGTCTATGCCTATGTGGGGATTCTCACCTGAGAAGAGAAGAAGATTGGTCAGTGGTGAAAATAAATAACCAAAACGTGTAGATTTATTAAGGAATTCCTAAGTTTTTGTGTTGCTTTGATCCTACAGATTGAACCTAGGGGCCTTGTGCCACTGACTGCCAAAGCACAGTGCCCCAGTTTTGCAATACTAAAACTTGTGCCCCAGTTGTTGTTTTTTTTTTTTTGAGACAGGGTCTCACTTCATTTGGTCAGGCTGGCCTTGAAATTGTGCTCTTCATGCCTCAGCCTCCTGAGAAAGTAGAGTTATGGCTGTGTGCTTCTGCTCCTGGCTCTACACCATTCTTTTAATGAGAAAATTATATTTCACAGTACAGTGAGATAGGCTGCTTCTATCATCTATGAAATAGGGGCTATTCTGACACTATATATTATATATATTACATACAGAGTCCACTAAAGAAAGTATACATACTTCAGTAGTTTGCAATACTAATATCTGGATGCCAATGGCCACCACTTTGAGTACCTCTTATAATATTAGAGGGCAAAGGTAACTTGTATTAATCTTATGACATCTCAATAAATTTAGAATTAAAATATACAAGTTTTTTTTTTTCCTGGTGTATATATTTTTGGCAGACTCTGCATGTTATATATAAGTATATATGTATTTATATATGTATGTTTTTTTCAGAGGTAAGAATCAGCTTTTTAGAAATAGTGCTTAAAATTCAATAAATGTTAAAAATGTTTGTGTTGACCTCATTTTAATGTTCTAGTAACCAGGAGTTGACAGGAAGAACTGCAAATAGAGAATAAGAAAAAAGTTGGCAAGAAGATGGATGAGAGGGGAGAAGACAAGTGCCCTTGTGTAAGGACTTCTGATACCCACTGAAGATTGTGTCCCATGGGGGAGTAGACCTTGGATCCCCATCAAAATCAACCATTAGGTCAACTTGGAAGTATTCAATAAATTCCAAACCTTACTGAATTTTTCTAGAACTACCTTACTTTCTATACTCATAAAGCCTTCTTTATGCGAGAGTTTTTACAAGCCTGTTGCAAAGGAAGTGAATAATAATGTTACTTACCAAGAATAGAAGAAGAACTATCAGAATATGGATAACCTGGGTTCTCCTGCGCCTGCCCTGGTAGTAGGCCACTGGAAGGAATGTCTGGAGTCCCTCCATTTAAAATCTATAAGTGAAAGGGGAAAAGTATGAAGTTTTCCACTCTTGTTAGGAATTTCTAGTGAGCACCATGTGCCACATCACTAAGAAAAGGAAGGATGCTAGAAAAAGCAAGGTGGGGGAACTTCAAGTGAGGTCGTCTGATCAGATGACTGCAAGTTAGGAAATGTTAAGCACTGTCATAGTAGGAAAAAGGTCTTCCCCAACCTCCTATTTTATCTGTATTTGATAATACAGGTGGTATAAAGGTTGAATAAAATCCCTGACAGGTATACCTGAGATCACGCTGTCCTCACACTTCTCTAAGAACAGAGCCTAAAAGTCAGCCCGCCTGGGTAGTCTTCCTGTGAGGGAGTAAAACCTGGCAAGAGACGTTTCAAAAGAAGAAATAGTGGGCTGCTAACAAGCTGTGAAGTGACACAGCTCTTATAAAGTATTACAGATGAACAGCAAAACATCAGAAGTCTTTCATGATCAGGTATATTATTGGTACCAATTTCAGTGACCTCCAGTTTATTTAATTTGAGCCCAGGGCCTTCTCACTGAGGTAGATCCCCAGTCCTTTTTCTTTTTTAATCTTTAAATTGAGACAGGCACTCAAGTTGCCCAGGTTGGGCTTAAACTGGATCTTCCTGCCTCGACCTCCTAGTGTTGGGATTACAGGTATGCACCACCATGCCAGCTCAGGTAATTTTAAGGTAGGCCACTAAGGAGATTTTACTATTCCTCAATTATTTCTCCTTGTCTTTATTTAATTCTGCCTCAATGTCCCTCCCACTCCAAGGTCCCACCTCTCGGCTGAGTCTCTTACAAGTCCATTCTTTCAGAAGTACCTGTGTTTAGTTGGACCAGAGCAGTGTGGTAACTGCTGGGTTTGAAGAGAAGTAGTGACTTCAGCCTTTGCCAGCAGGTGGCATTACAGCTTTATCTCCACAGGCAGCTTTTTGGTCTAGAACTCCTTTATACTCTTAAAAATACTGAGGACTCCAAAGAACTTTTGTTTATATAGGCTATATTTATCATTGTTTACTATATTTGAAATTGACAGATTTTTATGCTATATGAAACCTATTACATGTTAACACAAATAATAACATTTTAATGAAAATTAAATATTTTCCAAAACAGAACAAGACATGAGAAAAATATTTACATTTTTTGCAAATCTAAGCCACGCTTAGGAAATTTCAACTGGATCCTCCTCACTGATTCTCTCTTCAGTGTAAAGTCTATGAAGGAAATTCGCCTTTCACAGACTAAATAGTTGGAATAGGGAGGCATATTTCAATGGCCTTTCAAGTAATTGCTGTATTCTTACTTTGCTAATATGTCAGCATTTGATGTGTGGAAGTTTCTTAGGTGTTAGTTGCAGTATACAATCTGAAACCGTATCAATTTTTTGTACTTATTATACTACAGTACGCTGACGTGTCCTGGCATTTGCATGGATCTTTTACCGTTGAATGATTTAAGTGTCTTGCATTGGCCGTTCGTAAGATAGCGTACACTGAATTTTGCAGATCTTCCAGATGGTGACAGTCATTTTACAGCTTCAGAACATCACCACTGTTGTAAGTTTTGAATTCCAAGTAGCAAATACAAGTTTTCTAAAAATTGCAATTTTTGCATGAAAGCCCAAATTTTATTGTGAGAAACAAACACTGTGAGTTGCTTTCCTTCAAGGGACAAATGTGTGCTACTCAGTCTTTACAGCAAGAGTTTATTAGAGTACAAATGGTGTCGTGAATCCGACAGCTAGGTCAGCTACAGCTCAATCTCACACGTGCTTTTTCTGGAGACAACCGTCATACTCCTATGTAGCACAAATGCTTAGAGTAATAGTTTCACTGCTTCTTTAAGGACTTTCTGAAATGAAACTGGCTTTTAAATTATTTACTTCTCATTGTGGTAAAGAATAGAGTGACTTCTGGCAGTTTGGTGCCACTGCTCTGATTGTTGCAAAAGCACCAGCATTTTCATTCCCGGCATTGTTCTTGCACTAACAGTGCACACAGGAACACAGTGAAAGACAAGGTAATGTTTCACCATTGTGATAATACCTTTGCCCTTGCAGACACTTGAAGGGGTACTGAAGGCTCCCCCAAAACACCACAGATGCTATTTGCCAAACTGCTGCTCTGTCTGAACTTGCTGTGGTGCCTCTAGATGTCCCTTTTCTCCTGGGATCTGCCGTGGCTCATTTGGCCTCCCCTTTTCAGCTTGATCCTGACTGAAATAACTGCAGGCTAAATGACAAATTTGAAAGTGACTGGGAAGGGCCATCTTTGCTCTTGTGGGTCTGCTGTACCATTTGATGGTGAGGTCATTTTTAACTCCGTCTTACTCAGGCTGCTTTTCCTGTAAATCCTGCGCTGTGGATCCGTCTTATTAAAGAACACACTCAAAGTCTCTCCTCCCAGACCCACCGTAATAAGCCCTCTAAAGAAAAGGAAAAATTTCCATAAATGCCTCAAAAGTACTTAGGGCTTTTCCGATACAGAGCACAGTTCTGGACATCTACGAGTTGTTAGGAAAAGAATTGGAGACTCTGAAACCTGGATTACAGTTTCTGGCCCTACTTAATAAAACAAATGCTGGGGAGATGGATTCTGTCATCTGAACCATTATGAGGTTAAGATGAAAGAGTATATATGAACATTCTCTAACATTTAAGCACATACTAGAGTAATAAAATCCACATCACAGACTGATAATTCTAAGCGGTCAAGTGCCTAAAACTGGGAATCACAGACAGGGAGGCTACCCTAGAGAGATGGAGGAAGTAGAACAGCGTACAATAGAACAGAATAAGACTAAGTGCCAGCACACAGTGGGATGCCCAGATTTCATCTGTTGGTATTTTCAGAGTCATTTTAAAAAGCCAGTTACTCTTAACATCCATGTTCTCATAACAGAACTTCATTTACAAAAAATTTGGTTGTCCTAACAAACATCATCCCTATTATAAAAGCAAACTAAGGTTTAGATATATTGCAGGATTATATAACTAGCACATGGTACAGCCAGGCTACAA